TCCCTGCAGTTTCCTTTGCAATATTTTTGGAAATGGTTTGCCATTGCCTCCTTCCCAGGGCTGAGAGAGAGTGACTGGACCAAGTACACCCAGCTGGCTTTGTGCCTAGGGTGGGACTAGAACTCACATCTCCCAGCTTCTAGCCCGGGGCTTCAACCACTACACCGAAGTAGCTCTCATGCTACATATGCAGTATCTTAACAAACAGAAAAAACAACATGGAATGCAGGCAAGAGCTAGGAAAGAGTGAGACAACCCAGAGATCCAGGAGACAACCCAGTGTTGTCTACCAATCTTCTGCTGAGAACAAGGCACCCCAACATGAGTTCTCTGACAGAGTCTGGCTGGCTTCAAAAAAGGGTTGGACCACTTCATGGAAGTCCTGAGGATCAATGGCTATCAGCCTTGATGGCAGTGTGACTGCCTCTGAAGGCTACCTGGTAGGAGACTCGTGGGCTTCCTTGTGCAGCTGGTTGGCCACTATGAAAACAGACTGCAGGACTAGATGGGCCAGAGGTCCCATCCAGCAGGGTACTGCTTGGGTTCTTACGTTGACTTGGGAACTGATGGTCTACTGAAAAGGGAAAACTTCAGCCCTGCTCCCTTAATCCTGTTGAAAGATTTGGTCTTTCTGGCTTTATTTGAACTGTATGGAGCTCTTCAAATAAAAAACCTGTTATTTAGCTTTACAACTGGGAGCTGGAGAGTTTCTCCTGGCAACCCATTTAAGCCCACTTTGGGTGTCCAATCTTATTCAGCTGTGAAGAACTATCTTCCCCCCCCCACCTCCCGTATGTAAGAAATTCAGGGGTTTTTCAAGCTTCAAATAAATAACTATGCTAAGAGAAAGCTGAATGAATGAAGGAGATGTTTGTTTGAGCTAAGAATGGTGGGGAAAACCATTCTCAGTTATGAATATCCGAAAAAGAAAATGAGAATACGGAAAGGAAAAGAAAAGAAAAAAAAAGCTGAAGTAAAGACTCGATGAAAAGCAATTATGAACCTTCTTAATGCGTAAGGGTCTTTTCCCCAAAAATTGGTCTAAGTATAGCATTCAGAGAAATCAACTGGGTTAAGAGGAGAGTCTGTCATTCCCCCCTCCCCCCAATAAAAAGACATCATGCTATAAAATTCCTCCTCTTTCAGGAAGAAGGCAAAATGCCTTCTGGCCAAAATGTCTTTTTTTTAAAAAAGAACTTTCTTAAGTTTTAAAAAGCAAAAGGATAAAAAAACTAACAAGAACTAATAATCAAGAAGAAGAGTAGAAAGCAAGAAAGCTAGAAATAAAGAAAAGTGGTAGAAAATAGAGAAGAAAAAGAGGAAAAAAGAAATACACAAAAAAAAAACCCTTCCGACTTCTTATATAGCAGATATAAATGAATCATATAATAACCTCTTACTCTAAAACTACATCTTAACATATATATTTTGTATAATCTATTAATTTCATCATCCATATATAATTTCATTATTTTCTGTTTCCTGCAAAAAGTCCAAAAGGGGCTTCCAACTGGCATTAAAGTTAATATTTTTTCTCTGATCAAAACTGTCAATTTCGCCGTCTCAGCTAACTCCATCAACTTTACCATCCATTCTTCCATTGTAGGTAATGTCGAACCTTTCCACCTTCAAGCATATAAAAGTCTAGCTGCAGTTATTATATACAGAAACAAAGATCCATGAGCTTTTCCCAGTAGTTTATCCATCAGTCCCAAAAGGAAAGTCTTTGGGGAATGTTAAGTGCATGGCTGGTTACATTGCTAAATTACTAGTTTCCAAAATACAAAGTACCTTTTCAACACAGGAGCCAGTATAGAAGGAACATTGAAGCAACAGTGCAAGGGGAAACCAAGTAAGGGGAAGTTACATAGAAAAATAAATGGTAATTTATCCAATTCAGAACTGGGCTACTAGGTCCCCCTTCTTGGCTCTGGGTACATCCTCAAATTCTGTCTGTGGGCCTTATAAGACAGGGCTGGCAATGCTGTTCTATTACCAAAGTGAACGTTTCAGTTTTCTGTTCCTGTTTTGGCTCTGGGAAGGCTAAAGGGTAACACTGATACTTTAACCTAATTTCTTAAATCAGTGTTTCTCAACCTTGGCAACTTTAAGATGCGTGGACTTCAATTCCAGAATTCCCCGGCATTTCCCAAATTACTCCTTAAACCTTCAAAAAGGAAAAACAGAGGTCCCACATTTTCGTTGTATCCACTCTGGAAGGTCACATTCAGTCTTTGGGTGGCCTATTTCTGCTCCAGATACATCAAGCTTCCAAACAGAGCAGAAAGGTTGAACTGACGCTGTGATAAGCCATCATGTGGTTTGTTTTGGTTTACTGTTGTGTGTGCTTTGCAAACAATGAATTATGGCTGAGCATGTGTGTGTGTCCAACAAATTTCGGTTCACTGAACATACCATAGTTATGAAAACCATGATTTAGTGTGATGGGTGAATGAAGCCTAACACAATTACAGGCCAGACATTTAAATGACTTCTTTCACAATCAACAGCAGCAATTGTCACAAATATGTTTCTCAAAAGAAAAGATGGCTTAAGGGTTTTTTGGGGGAGGCTAGTTATTTAAGTAGAACCTGCTGCATTTTACAGATTAACACTTCATAAGGTATGCTTCCTTTTGATCTTCTTACATTATATCACCCTTTAATTATACTAAATACTATAGCTATAACTATAGCTGCTTTACAAAGAAGGGTGGTGATGAAGACAACCCTCCCCCCAAAGAAAAAAAAATCAAGTTGTAACAATAGTCCAACATTTATTCTGTCATGTAAGATCAGGTAAGATATAGCTCTAAAAATCAGCCACATATTCACCCCTTACTACAAATGCCTGACCTTCATATGAAAACTAGAGTCTGTCCGCTAAGTTCAACCTTGGCACATTTTTTCAAATGCTGCTATGTAATAACTTGCAAAGCTTTTGTGTAGTGTAAATATCTAGAAGTAAAACTGCATTGTACCACAGGTTTATTAAACAAAGCAAAACAAAGAAATAGCCAGCAGTGTGATTTTATCCTTTAATCAGTTAGGTTGCACCTACAGTTCCACTGAATTGCCCAAGAAGAAAAGGGTAATGGAATATATACATAATCAACTTACATTTAAACCAGCCTGAAACACTGTGAAAAACCCACTGTGGCTAAAATACATATTTATTAATTTTCACAACATTCTAGGAAGTGAGAGAATCACGAATGTACTTTTTATTGTCACTTACAGAAACATATAAAGTCAGATACCAGATGAGAAACCGTATGCCCTATAGAAGACTATGGAAAGAGACCAAGTCTTCATTAAAAGAAGCTAGTGGTCATGGAACAACAATGTTGGGTAGCCCTCATTCTGAAAGGCTCCTGTTAGCAAGTTTGTTGCACAGCTTACTAAAAAGGCTGTCTGTCTCATATGACATATACAGGAAATAATTCAGGGACTGGAATTCCCCTTCTCAAATGCGTTATGTGAAATGGAAACATACTTCTGCTGGGTTTCCCCTGGACAAAAAGCCCCTAATGTCCTCGGAACTCCGTGTACTTAATTAAATAGTTCTTTCTGTTTCAAAGATTTAACTCTTTTCTACAAAACCAGATTAATTTAAAATGAATGGTGTCTGCCCTGAAATAAACATCAGTCTTGATTTTCTGTATGACCAATGGTAGTTTTTCCACCTTGTGATAACCATAAGATAGTCAGAAACGTTCCCTTTTAATTTACCCCAGACATTTGCTTATCTTTTTTCAACAAGAAAGAGTTGGTTTTCACCTGGAATTCCTAGAAGGGAAACTTTGCATTTCCTCATTTGAAAATGCTCCTATCAACTCACCAAGCAGACTTACTCAAGCCAATCTTTCAGCCTTGCTCCTAGTGACAAATGAATATAATACTGCCAGGATATCAAACTATGTGCTTTTGAGCACTGAGAAACATCACAGGGATACGACTTCTTTCTAACCATCCACCTCATACTAATAAGCATGTAGGCCCTACTGGTGGCTCACATGGAGATCACGTTTCAGATATTTAAGGCATGTGTGTAAACACAGATGTACTTTAAATACTGCTGATGCCAACCACATCTAACCCTTGGGAAAATCAAAGGTATGGAGGCCCCCCCGACCTCTCCCTCAATAATGCTGTGGCCATGCAAAATTCGTAGTAGTACATGAAAACTTTGTGCTTGAATCACTTATATAACTCAGCCAGCATGACAAAGGAATTTAGCAACACACCCAGTGATTGGATTCACACCCCACCTTAACCTGACTTCTGAATCGACTCATGTCCTGGATAGGCACATTAAGCCATAAAACTAACCGGTGTGCAAATACCGGTAGCTGCACTTAGGACTTCAAACTGAGCTGGTGGAGTATACAGCGCCCATGTCAAGATGAAGCTCGGGCAGTGGCAGAAAATAGCTCGGAAATCATTGCTCCAGAATGGCCCAACCGTCTGCAAGCAAGAAGCTGGTATCTTCTTTCAGCCGCAGGCCTGCTGCTCTCTTCGGTCCAAGGCAAGAGGGCATGGTCCAGCTGTGGCGTTATTCTAGCTGGAAGCACCCAGAAAGCATTAAGAACTGGGCCTGGGGGGCATGGCACCCCACCAGAACGCACCCCTGGCAACTCTCTTGCCATGCATGCTTTGGATTTTCCCTTCCTTCGTCTTTCTTAGCCTCCGCTCCAGTCCAGGTCCTTCTGATGCGAGTCCCCCCAAGATACAGGACAAATGCAAAACGTGGGAAACCTGACAAACTCGCTGCTGCCTATCTCCAAAAAGCTGGTTCTATTCTCCCCACGCCCAAGTCCTGACGCGCTTATCTGCCACGGGCACTGCCTGCCCCAGTCCAGCAGCCTGCAACTGGGATCCTCGACAGTGTGCCTCTTAGTGTAACAGGAACAATACTAAATACGCAATAACAACAACGAGAGAGAGAGAGAGAGTGGAAGGCGCAGTCTCGCTCGGACTCAGGGAAGTCACGGTTCTTACCCTCCCCCAGGCTACTTAGGACTGGTTTCCCGATCTGTTCCAGAAATTACTCGTTGTCTGGGTTCGCACGACCCACAGGACCTTCCAGGGAGCCAATTAAAAAACCCTGCGGACGGGCACGCTTGGAGGCCACCAGATTAGGGAAAGAAGAGGCTTTAACTCGCAATCCAGGACAGGTGGCTTTCCCTGAACCCGGAAACCAACAGGAGCAACCCGAATTAATTTAAACAAACAAAAGAATAACACGCGAATCCAAGCCACCCGCCCTTCCCAGGTGGCGCATGCGCGCCGAGAGGCAACACCCTCCCTTCTTAGAGCGGTGACGCCACAGGGGCTGTGACTAAAAGGCTCTTCCTCTGTTCTTTCCCTTCGAATGGAATGGGGGCGGAGCCGCTGGGTCGCCTGGAGTTTCCGTTTGTCAAAGCGGGGGCGGGGCTTCGGCC